TTTGAACGAGTCGTTCGTCACTTATTATTTAGGCCGTTCGTGACTTATTAAGTTTAGGCCGTACGTGAACTATTATAAATGGAAAAAATTGCGTTAATGCTAATGTTTTTCTGTTGGATAACTAGAACCAATTATCTTCTGTATTACCATGCAGATATATATTTTTCTTTCCGATATTATATCTTTGTATTGTTGTACATTATAGTGATATACAGAAATTTGTAGAACGATTGTACGCTACAAAATTTAACCCCCTCAATTGTAATAAATTGATACGATCAATTGAGGGCCACGAAGTCATCAGTGTTAGTTTACTACTGTAAAGTGTTAGCCTCGTTAAATAAAGCCTATAATAATAATAATAATAATAATAATAATAATTATACGAAAACATTTTTTCTTCCGGCACAATCATATATCTGAAAGTTTTCATCGCCTCTCATTGTCCTTGTGTTTTCATGCTTTGCAGTTTTTAAGGCGGATCTCCACCGGACGATTTTCGAGACGATCGTCAAAACAGTTCGCGACGACACGTGCGCAATTGAAACAAAATGTTCGAAGAGCGATCGTCTAGCGCTGGACGAAAAGTAGGATTGACTTCTACTTTTCGTCGAGCGCCAGACGATCGCCAAATTTTTAACCAACAAGATTGCAGGATTCCTTGTCCAAACATTTCAATAGGGCGACCGTCGAGTTGAGTGAAGTATACCAACATCAACCTTCTTCGTAGAAGTAAATAATTCAAGTAGTGATAATTCATGTCCGTCATTTTTGTTGTTTATCCTGCGCTTTTTTCTTGCTGCTAGTACATCTCCACTTCTTTCTAAATCGTCGCAAATTTTTATGACGCCGATCGTCATATAGCCTGTGCACATCCTGTAACACAGGCTAATCGTCATAAAAATCGTCTCAAAAATCGTCTACTCTCAGATCTGTTTAGGCCTCACATTGGCTTCATCTACACTTCGTCCAGTAGTATTTTATAGTTCAGTGTAGCCACGTGTGTCTGCTACGAAATCCATACTCAGTACTCAGTCCATCGATAATTGTCGCGTTTTGTTCGTTCCCAGTCCCTAAACCCAGGCTCGCGGTCAGGTCTTGCAACAATTTAGTCTGAGACTGTGCCAGCTTCTTTAGTTGCTTGATGGCACGTTGTTGTTCATTGAGCCTTGCTTCGATACGAGAGATCTTCTGAGAATCTTCAAACTTCGCTTTCTGGAAACGATTCTTGAGCACCTCTTGAACTGCTTGTTGTGATTCACAGCTTGGATCACCTGTGATCTCCCATAGCAACCGTTTGAAAATTTTAACTTTCCTGGAAGCAAAGAATAAACCGTTTTACATTCATACATTGTAATGTGACGATTAGGTGGGGACTAATTTGTGCTTCGAGAACATTCAGGTACCTAACCACAGAATAAAGACATACAGAAGTGTAACTTCCATTACAAAACCGTAAGGCGCTTTTTACCGAAATAGCTGGCGGCCATGTTCTTAGCGAGTGTCCTAAAGAGAGACATTCACCCCCCTGGAATATTAAATTTTCATATTAGGTTTTCTTTAGGGCACTTGCTAAGAACATAGCGGACTGAAAAAATCCCTTACGCACTTTTAATAAGAAGATACACTTCTGTATGTCTTTATTCTGTGACCTAACATTTCCTAACACACGTCGTCAATTCTATAGTTTCGCAACGTTTTTTGTCACTAATAAATTGGTGGCCGGATAAACTTGTACACGAAAGGCGCTATTCGTGTCCAGGAATCATAGCTCAGAAACCAGGTGTATTTTTAAGAAAATAAAAGATTCTGAATTTCTCCTCCTTTCAGTAATTCTGAGCGGCGCCGAGGTGAAAGAGACATGGACTAACTAGCATGCCAATTGCCACTCATAATGATCGTCAGAAAGCAGCATCTTACTATCTTACCGTGGTATAGGTGTGTTAGGTTTCTCTACTAGGCGTGGCTGGTACAGTCGTTTCTGGATAAACATTGGTAACTTTTCTTCAATCTCTGTAACGTAATCTACCAACATTGCCATCAAACTCATATTGGCATTGCTCTGTACTCCGTCAATATCTCCCACTGCTAGACCGATCTAGGAGAGCGAACGAGACGTTCATGTTTATTGAAGGTTGAGGGCAGGGTATATTGTTACTTGATAGGTGAACCTTCCTCAGACCTGATATTTGATTGGCGAACTCTAGATGCTCAGACCCTGTTGTGCTTGAAACTAGTTATGTAAGTAGAGTTGCGCTTGCTTCTCTCTAGACTTGGTTCAAGTCCGTCTCAGGAGAAAAGTAGGAAGAGACGGACTTGAACCAAGTCTAGCTTCTCTCCTGTACTTTGAGGATGGATTTTCTCTCTCATCGTAAACTAATTCTGCCACCTATGCTCCTTGATCAGACATGGGTCGTATGGTGGCAGCCAGAGGTACCCTAGTAGTAAACCTTAGAGTCCGTCACGTTTTGAACTGCGTCCTTCGCAATCCAGTTCTGAGTTACAAGAGTCACATTCTCTTTACTCGAGATGATTGGCATTCTCATTACCTTTAGGAATGAAGGTTTTTCATTAACCTAATTTTATCAAAAAGTGCACAAAGTCGTATATCAATTTGAATATACTAATGTATATACAACCAAAACACTTACCAAGAGATTAGCCAGCAGTATTGCCATGGTAACTACAAAGATGGCGAATATCACGAAACTCAATACAGGAAATGGTAGTAAGCTAGTGCCAGATGTATCAATTAAGGTTTCTCTATATCCAATCTCACCAATCATCATCACTGTACTCGTCATTAGAGATATACCAACGTTAGAAAATGTGTCCTAGAAGAGAGTAATGTATATTGTAATCCATGAAGTGAGGTGTTGTATCCACATATACAAAATTCTCCTGATCTGCCTAAACTTTCCCCCCGATTTTCTTGGATGAAATCGCTCGTTTTTGAATAATTTCTTGCAACACAACTTTTGAAATCCTTACGTTTCACAAGCTATATATATCTGACACAACACGGCCTCTTTTGCTGTATTCATAAGTTTCAATCTATAAGTCTCCGGATCTACTTAATCTGCTGATCGAAAGCTTTGCGAGATCGAAAACCTAACATGTCTTTTTGGAGTGTTTTGGCACAGTATTTGGTGCATGTGTCATTCATCTTTACGATTTGCGTTCAATTGCTGCAATTTTCTTATTATAATTTGGCTTCAGTAGCAAGTGCATGAGTTTGAATCTACCACGGTTTTCGTCAGGAATACTCACGTTTCCTACTGTAGGAAACAATGGACTAATGAGAGATCTTTACTGGATGTGTATAGGGAAAACAGTTTAGAAGTGATAGAGTGATAGATATCTATATAGCAGTATAGATATAGTTTATTTGATAGTTTAGTGGTTTTAAAAGCAATGTCGGTGGTTAAACAATACCTACCTGTTTTGGAAAGATGATGTAAAACACGCTCGCGTACCCCAACAGAAACAACAATATGACAGAGAAAATACGAGTAAACGTCTTCAATATCTCAAAGAACATCGTAATGTACAGCCCCAGAGTTGGAAACATATAACTCCGTAGATACAATACAAAATCAAGCCATCCAAAAAATACTGCCATAATTCCAAAAGCCCAGTTCTGACCACTTATAATGAAGTCAGGAATTTCATTATCAGTATGGAGGTGAATGTAGATGTACGGTGATAGGAATATTATGCTCAGAAAGTAATACGCGATTTCTACCATGTTCTCGTAGTTTGTGAAATATCTAAAGAATAAAAACAAGTGTAATTTCAAAAACTGTTCCATCCATCAATGACAATGCTAGTGAGTTGATGATCTCAGAGGTCATTTTCTCCTGATATGTGCTATTGAAACAAAATTGTGAATGTGAATAAAATTTGTGTGTGTGTGTGTGTGTGTGTGTGTGTGTGTGTGTGTGTGTGTGTGTGTGTGTGTGTGTGTGTGTGTGTGTGTGTGTGTGTGTGTGTGTGTGATGCAACTACTTTAAAGTCCATGTAAAGTCCGTAATGTAAACAAACGCTTTGTTTACATTTTGAACTCAGTGCTCTAGTGCTACAGATGGGGTGAAATTCCTGAAATTGACTATTTGCAGTTGCCTATTTGCATTAATTTTCTGTGCCAGTACCAATATTAAATTAGTAGCCAACGAAGCCTTTTTCAGGTAATTGCATTACTATCAATCCAAAATTTATTAGCATTAACCCCACCATGCTCGACCTTTCTATAGCCTTTCTTAATAATTCATGAGGAAAACACAAAGAAAATCATAACCGAAACGTTGTTTGGAAAACTGGTAATAAACGTACATAAATTAAGCCAACTTTCGCCTCAAATTTCTCTTAAAATACTGATTCGTTTGAGAAGCTATATCATAAACGAGAAGCCGTAAATTACCTGATTTGAAAGCACCTCGAAGTTGGTTAAAAAACTCGGCTATCGCCTCGTTTTCCAACACACTTCTCGGTGTTTTCAAATCAGGTAATAAACGGCTTCTCGTTTATGATATATTACATCGTACCTTAGACCGCGTAGGAACATTTGAAAAATCTCCTTAACGATGAACAATATAGCCAATAGGAACAGGAAGGTTATTAAAGCAACATTCCGATCTTCATGCGAGGCTACATCTTCGGTATACCTCGTGGCATTGTCGTGAAACGTCGCGTATTGTCGTTCGGTTATTGTGACCCAACACAAACAGAAATGAAATGCTATAAAAGTCAGCAAACCAACGATATAGATATTCCGACCAAATTTACTCCATTTGTGCGACAACATTTTCCTGACTAGCGGATGAGAAAGAATTTTCTCCTGGCGGTCTTTGACTAGTGATTTCAATGTGGTGAATCTCGGCTGTCCAGTGCGTGGGCCTGGGTCTAGGATGTGGAAATCGTAACTGATTTGAAATTCTGAGTCACTGTGACTGTGTTCTGAGCATGTGATGCCTCGGTCTAACAGAGCGATAGCGACGTTAGGATGGGCGTGCAGGATTTTTGAGATTGTTTCGGTTCTTTTGGAGAAGTCTAGGTTCTTTACCATGCTAGGTTTAGGAGATTAAAGGATTTTAGAATAAATTGCGGTTAGTTTTGGTCATCATATTTGACTGCTGATGGTGCTTATCGTGGTAATGATTATCATGGTTATGTTGGTAATGATGATGTTGATAATGATGATAATGGTGATGTTGATAATGGTGATGTTGATAATGGTGATATTGATAATGGTGATGTTGATAATGGTGATGTTGATAATGGTGATGTTGATAATGGTGATATTGATAATGGTGATGTTGATAATTAATGGTGATGTTGATAATGGTGATGTTGATAATGGTGATGTTGATAATGGTGATATTGATAATGGTGATGTTGATAATTAATGGTGGTGTTGATAATGGTGATATTGATAATGGTGATATTGATAATTAATGGTGATGTTGATAATGGTGATGTTGATAATGTTGATAATCGTGATGTTGATAATGGTGATGCTGATAATGGTGATGCTGATAATGGTGATATTGATAATGGTGATATTGATAATGGTGATGTTGATAATGGTGACGTTGATGATGGTGATGCATTTAATGATGGTAACCAGGAAAGATGGTGATAATTGTGTCATCTAACCTGTGATGGTTCATGATGGCGTCCAGTACCTCATCATGCGCACTATCAATCGCTAGATCTAAAAACGTTTTATCTCTCTTATTTTTTAGTTCTGTGTTGGCTTTCTTATCCAATAACAACACCACAATATCTGCATTATCCCCTTTTGCAGCCTCGTGTAGCGACGTTTCCCTATCTCCGTTGACCGTGTCGCACGAGGCATAGTAATCCAGCAGTGAGGCACAGACACTAAGGGAGCCAGATCTCACAGCACAGTGCAAGGCTGTGTCACCGTTCATGTCTGCAAAGGAGACATCTGCTCCGTGCTTTAGAAGATAGTTGGCGACAAGTCTAGAACAAAGAAAGGTAAAACTCATATCACACTCTGGTTTAAATAAAGGTTTCATCCTGTACTAATATTGAACCGAAAACGAATAATGGATAGTCCTTACTGGACCTTTATGGAGAACAATTGATAGAGATTCCATCCAAAATAAAGTAATCAGGTTTGTTAGTTAAGCAAGGTTTCCTCCTGAAGTAACACTGGCTCTATGAGGGGTAGTCTTTATTGGACCTCTCATTCTATTAACTGTGATTGGACTTACAGTGGTAGTAACACTGATCATCTAGGGAGAACAGTTCAAAACTGGTAGACCTATCCAGCATAAATGTACGGTTAGTTTAGTTCAGGTTTCTTCCTCTAGTAGTACTGGAACAATAAATAATGGCACTTGCTGCACCTTAGAAAGAATAGTCTAGACATAATTGATAGATAAGGTGCCTAAAGTTAGTTTAGTTCTGATATGAAAGCATTTTAAAGTCTTACGTGTTTCCATTTCTGCAGGCATTATAAAGTGCTGTGTTGCCTGTATCATCTACGATATTTAAACTGATCATTGACTTGTCCAGAATCATTTTAACACATTTCAAGTTATCAGCTTTGCACGCGAGGTGAAGAGGGGTCTGGGAATGAATGTCCAGTGTGTCTGGATTACTGCCGTGTTGCAGGAGGATACGGATGACCTAAACGTGGAATGTTGGGATAAGTAGGGTGAGTGGTCATTTTGTTAGTTGTGTATGCCTTGTATGGGGAAAAAATAATTTGACTTGTTTTGCATGTTCATTTTGGGCAAAACTGTTCAATGACTTCAATTAATTAACCGATGAATGGACCATTTGCACTATAGACTAAATTTTGATCTAGACAAAAATTTCATCACAGCTTGAAAGAGCATCACAAAATTAGTAAGATTTCAAAGTTTCGTTGCGAAATGTTGTAAAATGCGGATAATATAGCCATGCGAAGTTTGCCGTTTTTCAGTCATTTTGTATTACGCACGGGAAATTGACAGCCCAATAGGGTGTTGGGGCATCAATTTCCCGTTTGTAATACAAAATGACTGAAAATTGCAAATTTCGCAAGGCTATATTATCCGCATTTTACAACATTTCGCAACGAAACTTTGGAATATTACTAATTTTGTGATGCTCTTTCAAGCTGTGATGAAATTTCTGTCTAGATCAAAATTTAGTCTATAATGCAAATGGTCCATTGGACTTGCGTGAAAGTAATATTCCAAATCCGACTATAAGGACTGGACTAGATTTCAAGTCCACGCAATGTGATCCAGTTTAAGGCAAAGCCGAGGACTGGGTCAAAATGAGTCGAGGACTTGAAATCTAGGCCAGTCCGAATTGGAGGACTCGTACGAATAAATCACTACTTAAAGTGAGGTGAATTAATATTGATCCAGTCCAAGGACTGAATTAATTTTGATCCAGTCCTAGGACTAGATCAATGTACTTCACCAGATATCCAGTATTATCATGTGAGCAAATATGGCTGGTTAATTTACTCATGAATTATTAATGAGTTTGATATGTACTATTTAAAAAAACGAGCAGGAGTGTTTTATTAGGTTTAAAGCACGAGCGCGCAGCGCGAGTGGCTTTAGACCTAATAAAACACGACCTGCGAGTTTTTTAAATGGCTTCAAAAACGTATGCATAATAAGTCAAATCTTTATAGAAAAATCTTTATATGAAAATGTTTATATAAAAATCTTTATAGAAAAATGTTTATATAAAAATCTTTATATAAAAAATCTTTATATAGAAATCTTTATATAGTTTGCATAACAGTGGTCTTTTGTTAAAGTGTTCTTTAGCTGGTATAAAGACGTATGCACGTGACTAATTTCTTACTCAAGATTGGATAATTGCTTCATGAATTATTAATGAGTTTTTGAAGGTGTTATCCAAACTGGGGAATGGCAAGTTGGACAGTTAAAACCAACAAATGCAAGTTGTTCGAAATAATAGGAAAAACGATACTACTGTTTCTAACAAAGACCATATATTACGGTCAACCGCTGCAACTAAACCACAGCCTAACCACAACTAAAGTGCAGTGTTACTTAACGGCTACTCTATACCTCAGAATCACCAAGGGCTGCCGCGTAATGCAGCGGGGTCCTGTTATTGTAATCAATTGCGTTGGTGTATTTCGAGCCTGCGTTTCTTAACAACATCATGAGCAATGGTTTATGTCTGTTGATCACTGCCAGATGAACACAGCAGCGCGATTTCTTGGTTCGTTGATAGATCTGACTTTCGTCTCGTTTTAAAATAAGTTCAGCCAAATGAGTGTAGCCTTCTTGGACAGCGTGGAGGAAACATGTTAATCCATTCTTATCCACGATTATCAATGCAGCTCCTTTACTCAACAGGAATGTCACTACGGTGTCGTGGTTCCTTGCCGCTGCTCTGAGGGAGTAAACAAAAGATACTTTGTTAGTTTTTCATTTCATTGGAAATCCTTCAATATTTCACGTTGTACGTACAATCCTTCAATATTTCACGTTGTACGTATACTCGTCTATTTATCTTCGTTGAAGATGTTTTGGGCAAGTTTGATTCGCCTAATAAGCTAAATAACTTTGAAAATTACAAGAGGTGTAATCGCTACGAGACCGCATACAAAACATTTCAAATAAGCTTTGCTTACAGCTCACTGAAACAATTAAATTCTGAAAGTGTCACACACGTTTTTTCACTTCACCAGCTGCACACAGTTTTTCATGTTCTTTACTACCACCCATTTCCACTCAAGAAAAATTTCCACGGACAGAAAATTTTCCGAAAAATATCACTGTGAAAAGTTGAAAATTTTCAACTTCAAAATTCTTTTTCCGATGGAAAATTTGTGTCGGCCAATCAAATTTTACAAAAATTTTCTTTCTGCGGAAAATCGTTCTGAGTGGAAATGGGCTTAAGCAGGGTTATAACTCCCCATGTTACCGAAGTCTCCGTCAAAACGTGACCAGTGGACTGTTTGAGTGATGTGCTCTGTGTGAAAAGCCTGCTCTTGTGGTATAATCTTGAACAATCTGTGCCAGTGTAGGTAGTGTCAATAATAAGCAAGGGTGGGATTGATAGGGATACAACAACCTGAAAAATACAAGGACAACTTGTGTACCTATGTAACGGTGTGCATCCATCGTAGTCTCGTATATCCAATTCAGCCTCGTAATTCAACAACATCCGACACATCTTGAGGTCGCCTCCAGCAGCTGCAAGATGCAGAGCTGAGTAACCACGCCCTGACAGGATCCTCTGTGCGTTGACGTCAGCACCGTGACGTAATAAGATCTCCATGATGTTGAGCAGACCACCCCTGGCACACAAGTGTAATGGTTTTGTGCCATTTCTGTCAGAGATATTCACGAAATTTTGTATTTTCATATTTCGCTCTTTGGCTAAAACGACAGAAACAACAGAATATTTATTCTTACTAGATTGAACAAGCCATGCACGTATTGGACTGCATAGTTCTAACAGCTCTACCGGGTTCTCTTAGAGGTCCAGTAAGACCCATTCCTTATTGATCCAGTATTACCTCAAAAGGAAACCTAAACTCACTTTCTGTATACTGGATCAGTTTTTCCTTAACTATTCTTCCTAGAGGTCCAGTAAGGCCTTTCCTTGTTTCCTACAAGAGGAAACCGCAGAAACCTGAAACCTTCTCAACAAACTACACAACCCACCTCGTTTGATCAACAATTTTACAATCTCCTCTTGTCCTCCGATAATTGCAACATGAAGTGGCGTCAGTCCTTCGATTGTTTGGGCCTCCAGATCCGCCCTTTGGTTTAACAACGTTTCACACGTGATCGTGTTACCATGGAAACAAGCATGGTGTAGTGGTGTACGGCGGTTCTTGTCCAGCGCTTGTAGGTCAGTTTGATGATTGCTCAGCAACATCGTGATGAGTTCCTTGTCTCCTCTCTTGCCCACCAAGTGTATTGCACATTCTCCATTGTTGTTCTTCATGCTTGCGTCAGCACCGTTGTCAAGGAGACAGCGCACTGCATCGTGGCAGTTGTGGCTGAATTGACATGTGAAGAAAATAAATAAATACAAAGTCTGAAGTATCCATGGTTCACATACACAAATATTTGTTCTATTTTGACCAAGGCCACGTGAATGACATTGAAAGCCAAGGGTGCAAGATACAGGGTACTGAAAACCATATTTTCACAAAAAAATGTGCTAAATTCTGTATACACGAAACTCCCTCGAATGAGTAGTATTAAAAAATACAAAATTTTATGAAATTATTTCAAACTGTTTGGTTCACGGCCAACACAATAGTATCTATAAGTATCAAGTGCCTTTTGTGTGTTTCATACCACGCAATCTGCATGCAGTCCTTTGGGTTCTTTACGCAACTATAATTATAACCTCCTACGTGAAGGTCTGCCCAAGGTCTCTGTCAAAGAGTGACCTGTGGAATAACACACTACAAAAGAGGTTTTACTCACCCTACAGCTAAATGCAATGGTGTAACATCATCATCTGTGACGACATTGACGTCAGCGTTACATGACTTGACGAGGTACTCTATAATATCACGTTGGTTATATCTACTCGCATAGTGTAACGCTGTCCAGCATATCTCATCTGGTTCTTGCAATTTATTCTCGTCTTCTTCATGAATACTTTTGATATCTTCAAGTAAACCATGCTGACATATTTCGCTTATTGTCTTCTCTCCCGAATCAAACCAACCCTGCAGGGGGAAATATATTACTCTAGTTCTGTCATGTTCCTATTCTCTAAACCCTGTTCCTAACTTGAACACTGGTATTATTTAGCTTTAGTTTTTCATTTAGAGCCCTTCTAGTCTTCTGGCTTTGGCGTGGGATTCCATTCAGCAGTCGTGGCTGATGCTTGTGTCATTCTCTCTGAACGCGGTTTCATTCCATATGCAACTGTCTCATTATAATTTCGCCTCAGTCGCGTCCAAACCACTAGTTTTCTCTGCTACATATCCCTTTGCTATCTAGAAGCTACCCACTATATGTAAAGCTAGTATGGTTAATTAAAAAAACCTGCAAACAAATAATCTTCATTGCCAAAAACATCGAGAAAGTTTTGTACAGTTAACTTCAAAATACCTGGTTTTCATCCATTCCAAATCCTTGTCCAGCAAGCTCCTTAGATAACATTTGGCTAAGACCTGTCATCTTGCCATTTTCAACTTGACTATCTGCTATATTCATCAACGGCAACATAATGACTCACTGAAAGTTTTCTCACAAAACGTTATATCAAAATTTCAACTCGTTTACTGGTTCGCTGACAACACTAATGTTGAGTAATTATCAGGTTAAACATTTCAAGCACTTAATGAGAACTGTCAAGTAATTATCGCTGAAACACTTTCAGTGACAAGTTGTCGTAAATTGTTGCACCTTAAACTATGTCATAACAACAATTTCGTACCCAACTATGCCGAGTTATTTTATGATAATCATATCAAGCTATTTTCAATTACACCCTGTCGTGTGAATTCTAAAAGATTTTTTTGCTGAATAATTGATTAATTGTTTTTGACAACTTCTTCCCAGCGATAATGATAGGGTATTGAGTTTGTAACTGTAGGAATCAGGAATGCTGTGTGCATGTTTTGATTGTCTCAATAATTGAGTTGAAATTGTTGTAGAGTGACTGACGTCATGATCAATGAAAGATGATCCGGTTAATATACTTTTTCCAATCTGAAATTGAAGAGCTGGATCAGACTCTGTTTGAGGCAAAGGAAATTCCATTCCATTATTTCCATGGCCTTTCATTTCATGCCACGGTTACTATTTTTCCCAGCACTTAGAGGTTAATCAATTTTGCATTCTTTTGCATCCTCTATGTGCGAATTTTGTACGGTTTTACTTATCACCAGCCTGCTCAGCAGCCCCCCACCCCCCAAAATTGAAAATTTTCCTTAGAACGAAATTTTGGACTGCGAGCAGGCTAATTTATCACTTATACCAAAATTTATCAGGTACATTTAATCAAAAGTATCACCATTTTAGTCCTAATACCAAGAATATGATCGCAAAATTTGCGTTACAAAATCAATAGACCATAATGCATTGCGAATGCAAGATGGCGGAATAACTCTCCAGAGTCTTCAAAGATTGTTCGCATTTTGGTTTTGGTCCTGGGTACTACATAAACAAAATGGCGTGTGAAAAGAAGGTAAAAAAAATATTTCCCTTTTTTATCGTTCAAAAATATTAACATTGTGGAGATTTTTGAAGATTATCTTGATATAGTTTGTTGCTAGATGCATTGTTGAATATTTCTAGGATATTGGTGATAATTTATCCCAAGAGAATGCTGAAATAAATTCGTCTGAAGTTAGTGAACCAGTGAATGATGGAGCTAGCGGTTCGACATCGACAGCAAGTGAGGGGACATCTAGTGCAGCTAACAAGAGAGCAGAGCGCTTGAAAAAGCTGAAGGAACTTCATTTAAGAAGGGTAATGTGTTTCTGTGTTTGTTTGTCTTTTAAAACGATTATGTGGTAATGGTTCTGCACTTATGAATAGTTATGATTTAAAAGTTGACTTATCAGTTTGGGCTGCATCATAGAGAAGCTATTATAAAACTAGAGTATATGCTGTATGCCATACATTCTATATATCATATTGTATATCAACTCACAAAACTATATTCCTAATTATTTTCTACCTCTATATTGTGTTATTTTTTATTGTACAGTTTATGAAATAAGATCTGATATGTTTTATATTCATAAAATAATTTTCTCTTGCTCCTGACATTTCTAGAATGAAGCGAGGAAAATGAACTATCAGGAAGTGGTAGAGGAAGACAGAAAAAAGAAGCTGCCAGCAAACTGGGAGGCAAAACAAAAAAGAGTTGATTGGGAGCTACAAGATCATAAAGCTAGAGCTGTTAGTTTAATCTCTTTTTAGCATATCATAACATGAAAATGCTTGAGAGTTGAGGATGGATTGGGATTCAACTACCTGGAAAATACATGTAAAGGCCCGTTTACACGGGCGATTTTTGCTGCGATTTCTGTTGCGATTTTCTCCTTTTGGAGGATGTGAAGGAGTAGATTACTTAATGATGTTGTTATGAGATTTCATAACTTGGAACATTTATAACTGATTTACTCCTTCACATCCTCCAAAAGGAGAAAATTGCAACTGAAATCGCAGCAAAAATTGCCCGTGTAAATGGGCCTTAAAACTTCGACGTTCCGAGGAAAGGCCCTTTAACGGGAAGTTAGTCTGATTGTGTTTTTCAGGTAGTAATGAATCCCTATCCATCCACAGTTTTCTGGTGTTTTATCACTCTTTAGCATATTGTAGCATGAAAAGGCTCTGAAGTAGAGAGGACTACACTGATCTAGGGTGTAAAAGATTTGACCTGTCTGTCACTTCAACTTGCTTAGCAGTATTTACAGACACCGCATTTTGAGGATCACCCTTGCATGTTTTTGCTCCCCTTTCCATGAAAAATTATTTATAATCTGCCTTAGCTAAGATCTACACCCAAGGTATATTGTTTGATTACTTAATTAAGCAGTTGATATTGTACGACAATTTTGTGGACTATCATTCACAATCAACAACATAATAAATCAAACCTAAAGTGTAACATGCATGTAATTAACCTAGCCATATGCTACCCATTTATTTCAGTGTAAAATACCCAAAGTACTAATACTATGTACAGTTTGGTCTCGTAATGTGTCATTCCAGAAAACATCCTGACCGCCCCCATTGCGAAAATTGGAAGTTAACCCTCCTATCCCCTTTTGGACATATTACCAGAAGTGAGTAACCCGCTGTCCCTCCGAACAGCAGAACTGTCCTTGCTTGAGGAGTGTGGATCTGGAATGATCCAATGTCTAGTAATCTGGTAACTTACAAAATGTTATATCTTGAAATTTTACTTTAGGAAGCAGAAGCTCAAGGTGAAGATTACGATCGTTTGAAAATGCTTGAGGTGACGGCTGAGGATGCGGAGAAACTGGACAAGAGGAAGAAAAGGAAAAAGAATGCCGATGTTGGTTTTTCAGGTACAAAACTGAGGTGTACATCCCCAGATTGCCCCCCCCCTCTCATGATGTACAGTAGTTTTGATGTAGAGTGTGATGGTAGTAGAAGGGTAAGTCTATAGAATAAATTTTCTAAATCACAAATGCATGTCACTTTTGTTTAAGCAAGCCAGTCACAAAACATGTTCAGGATAGATTTGTATTTACTCGGGATCTGTAAAATGATGCAATAATTTATGTTTGACAGATTATGCTGCGGCCCAACAAAGACAATATTCACGTCTGGTGAAGCAAATGAAGCCAGATCTTGCTGAATACCAAGAACAGAAAGAAAAACTGTCAGTACTTTTTATTTTTCTTCACTAAGTTACAAGGATAATGAATTCATGACAACATTAATGCTAAAACACTAATGTTAAATTATTGCTTTTTTGAATGCATTTAAACTGTTCTCTGTTTATTTCTACTGCAGCGGAGAGCAAATGTATCCCACAGCAAACAACATCAGTTATGGAGGTGAGGGCAAAGTGTCCAAAGAAGGTGTGGATCGCATGGTGGCTGATCTAGAAAAACAGTAAGTTTGTTGAATAAGATTTCAGAACCATCCTCAAAGATATGAAAAACTAAGTTTCATATTTATTCTCATACTGCAGAGAACAACGAAAAATTCATTGTCTTGAGCGGGACTCGAACTTGCAGCGTCTTGAAACACTGCTCCAAGACAAGCATCAAGGCCTATCTCCACTTAGGAAAATTTTCCGCAGAAGGAATATTTTGTAAAATGTGATTGGCCGACACATATTTGCCGTCGGAAAAAAATTTTGAAGTTGAAAATTTTCAACTTTTACCAATGATATTTTCGGAAAATTTTCCGTCCGTGGAAATTTTTTTCAGTGGAAATGGGCCTTTCAGTCGTCGCGAAAATATTTTGTGCGCTTAAATTAGATACGACTCGCTCTACCAATCCCTGTTGACTCGAAAGCTCAATGGGTAGAGCGGCGCTCCAGATACCCGAAGATGTGAGTTTGAACCCCGTTCGAGACAGCGAATTTTTCGTTGTTGAATTTTAAGCCCGACTCAAACGAGCATGAGAGTTGGCAGTAACGCTACCTTGGTTAGCTGTTCTTAATGCTTTTCCAACACTATCATTCCAACACTATTTAAGTTAAAACATGGTTGGAACACCCACCAATCCTTTATTTTGTTAATCTAGAGCTTAAAATGCCCCCTGTAACAATACGTGACTGCCACCTCTCATCACTGAGTGACCTGGTCTTTAATCACGCTAGGAGTATAAAACTCGTGTACAGTATGTATGTACGCATGTTCGTCTATGTAGACAAACCACGCACGTTTGTTTTGACGGATGATTCGTCTGTTTGCCGTGTTTGTACAAAAACACTTCAACGGAATTTTGGTATTTTTTCAGGATTGACAAACGTTCAAAATACAGTCGACGTCGTGCACATTGTGACGAAGCGGATATCAGTTTTATCAACGAAAGAAATATGAACTTCAACAAGAAATTATCTCGCTTTTATGATCAATATACTGGAGAGATCAGACAGAATTTGGAGCGTGGGACCGCTATCTAACACGTGCCCAAAAATGCTAATGAGCTTATCTTTGTTCTGTATGGAGAACAGAATGAATCATCTATGGAGAACAGAATGAATGATGATGCTATGACCAACAGTAGCAATGAAGACAATATTCTCTTATTATACACGGTGTCTACTGAGCAAAATATGTAAAATAGTTATTTTTGTTCTGGAGATGAGACGGAATTTTGGATTGGAGAATTTTTTCACTTTTTGTTTTGGGAATATGGTATTTTTTCTTTACTGCTTAAAGCGGAACTGTTTCAAAACCTGATGTGGAATATCTCGGTTTTACAACTAAATATGGAATTTAATGTAATGCAATTTTTTCTAAAGTTTAGCCCTATTACTGTGCAATTTTTAAGCTCCAAAATTCTACCTTATCCCTCGATTTTGTAATGATTTTAAGTAAACATAATTGTCACACGTGAGAGTCTGGTATAGATCGTACTCTGTAATAAGTTACCTTGGTCTGTGTCCAAACTACCTCAAAATACTCAGTCAAATCCTTTTCACGCAGTTCAGACCCAAACCACGGAAACCTAAACATGAACTGTATATTGTATTGTAACGTCTTATAGAATAATGGGTAGAGTATTTATGTTTGATTTTCTTTTCCAGGAAGACTTTGGACACATAGTATTTTGATATCGTGTTAATGAATTTTTTAAATAGGAGCTAATATCGGCCGACTTCTTGAAAACCCACGTATAGCATGTTTGTCAAACTATGGGATGACCATAAAAGGACAGTGCATGCGAAGAGCTCGACTCTCAATTTTTTATAACAGAGATTGTGTGTAAAATATACATCTATATAGTATACCTCCTTTTTTGGCTGGCTGTTGTTTTTTTAACGTTTTTAATTCGTCCAAAATGAAATTTGTTATGCTCATATACATATGCTCAAGTATAGATGTAAGACTACAAGCATAAGCTGGGAAAGAACTGTAAATACATGTTCTGCTTCACTCTCCTAAAAGGCTGCTTTGCAATCCAAGTGTTTTTTTATGGCGTACAGTACGTACACGGAATGAAGTTTGAATGCTTGTAAGCTTTTAATATTTTACAAATAAGTTAACGTACGGAACACTAAATCATCTACATTTATTCATCTGGTGATTTCATAGGTAACATTTAAAAAGGTTTAAACTTTTCAGGGGAGAACCCGACTCTCTGGAACCCGACTAGAAACTACGGCAGAACGTTTTTTGAATGAACAGTGAATAAATTCCGTCTCGTGTTTTGTACGAGGGTCCCACGCGTGACGGGTTCACTTTGCGAGTGGCCTTCGTCACAGGCCGGAAGGAACCAGTCGGTTTCACCATTTTGGCATTTCGTTTTGTTCGTTGTTGCAAGTCTAATACACGGTTTACACACCATTGGTGTTGTTTATATGAAAGCAACGTAAAGAAGGGATACCTATCTATCCGCTACAAGTATGGTTGCAGCGCGCTGGAGCGAATTGAAGTCTTAAAACGGTTAGTAGTTTTGCCAAATGCTTCTCAAAATATAGATCCGTCATAGGGCATGTCTGAAATACCTTTAGTCTTAATAGCTTGTCAAGTATCATATTGAACCTACACTGATGTAGAAATTTGTAGAAATATCCCTGCTAAGCCTTGCCTCCCATTTAGTTGAAATTGGTCGATATATAATGACAATTTGGCTGCAAATTATTGATATATAACCGTGACATTGTCCGAAAGCAAGGAAGCAAGGCACTTAAATTGGTCGCTACATATCAAATATTCGAGACATTTTAAGATCAATGTCTGGCTTATATCTGAAGCCATATTCAGCCTGGCAAATTTGAATCCAAATACGAGTTATCGTCCAGTATAATGTACTAGACATCTATGATCGCGGGTTGAATAATTCATCACTCGTGAAAAGCGGTTTATATACAACGCCTATATATCTACGAAAAACTGATTTACTTCGGTCATTTGTTCCCCATATTTGTGCGACCACTATATACTTTATTAACCTTCTTTATTTTCTTATATTGGAGCATATATAACCCGTTTTATAAGAGTGTTACGTTATGTCTGAGTTTTTATGTAAAAATCTTGCCTCGGCCGCTCGAGTGTGATTTAGACAGACCGTATTCATATTAATTTCTAAAGGTTTGTTTTTAAATTTATCGCAAACAAATAGATAATTATGTTTCTGTATTCAATGCCAAGCAAAGTCCTTGAATAATTATAGCATTCTGTGTTTAAATCTCACAAAAAAATTCCCATCTCTATACATATTCTAATTATTATTTGTCTTTTGTTGGGAAAATTGTTTTGTGCAGGAAATACACTCAGTAGTGGCTAATCATCACGATAACTCTTTGTCATTTAATGCATTTTTCTTTCTTTTCAGGCTTCTGCAGTTTTGTTTCATGGATATTTTATATCTCATACAATTTGATAATTTATTTTGGCACGGAGTTGTAAAGCTATGGAAATTATATGCAGATCGTTGGTAAAAGAACACACAGTTTTGGAATTAAAGCCAACCGATCTAGGATTCCTGCATTCGATACGGCCACCTAGCACAAATGTACTTGAATAGATCTGGTTTTAATTGAGTAGAAATGTCGAATTCACAGACATTTGTATCGCTAAGGGTTTTCCCGGGCCAAATAATGCCAGGCTTACAATCTGTGGAACTAAAAGTTCCGGAATTTGTGACAACACGAAAGGTATTAAAATTAGTCCTAGTTGAATTAGAAATACAAGAAGCTCCAGAAAAATATGAGTTGGTTGAGGTGTGTGTACACGATGATCAGTCAGCTCGTGGCCCACCTTCATTGCAAGAAGACGATTCCGACGAAGACGAAATAGTGTTTCAAATACCAACTACAGAACGTGTGTTATCATTTAGTGACAATCCTGTAAAGGTGACTCAATCATGGCGACGCATGGGTAGTATTGGGAATACGTTTCGGCTATTCTTACGCGAGCGACAGACGGGCAAGAGCTCAAATCGTATGACTTACAGTTGGATGGACTGTCATGAATCTGTGCGGTCTCGGGGCGGAGGATTTCAATTCGACGCTCATTCAAATGTTGACGATGATGATTTATGTCGGTTGCCAGATCTCAACGAGCAAACATTATTGGAAAAATTATTCCAGCGCTTTGAACGGGGGAAAATTTACACATACGTTGGGGAGATTCTCATAGCAGTCAATCCCTATAAATTTTTTCCCATCTATAATCCGAAGTACATAGAAGCATATCAGAACAAAAAACTTGGCGAGCTTCAACCTCATATATTCGCCATTGCGGACGAAGCATTTCAAAATATGTTGAAAGAACGAAAAGACCAATGTGTTGTCATTTCTGGGGAAAGTGGCAGCGGAAAAACTGAGAGTACGAAGTTACTTTTGCATCATTTGACCGCTCTAAGTCACAAAGCGGGCTTCGAGAATACTTCTGTGGAAAAGACAATCTTAGGTGCAGGCCCTGTTTTAGAGGTAAGAATATTTGCAAGCTTCGTTTCCGGTCGTAATTCATCACAAGTTACATTTTCCCCCGACGGCTATAATTACGCCAAGCATATGGATTGGTTGCGCTCAATATTGTTTATTTTTTGGTTGACCAAGTTTATATTTGCACATTTATAAACTTACACAAACTTTGTGTCAATTTGCTCGTATGAGGTTTGGAATAAATGTGCAACATTCGAAATCTTTGTTTAGAATATAAATTTGCAACACTGTGCGATTTTTTAATAGAAACATTTTGTGGAATTTTTCGGATAGAATATTTTGCTACATTTATTACGAACCGGTAATTTGCAACTTTTTTCGAACGTTTTACTATAATTAGAACGATTTTGCAACATTCTCGAACAATGTTTTGAATTCCAAGAACACATTTACACACTTGAATGGCTTTTAAATCCGCGAAAATTTACCGCGCTTCGCTTGTTATGAATAAAGATAATAATTTTAACTCCAAAATTGAAGAGAACACCATATTACACGAGATTTCATTGTTCTAAGCATTATTTAGCTTCATAAAGACACAATAATCCACTGAAATGTACTATTTAATTGTGTTCATTTTGAAAGGCTTCTGTGCCAATCACACGTGTTAATTTCATCACTAACATTGAAGAGCATTTTAATACAGTAATTATTTGAAGTTTCTGCCAGCCTAAATTTTGGAAGATCATTGTTTAGAATGTTTGATGAACTTGTAAAGGTAGTTGTAGATTGTGTATGCAAGTTTAAATGCAATATTTATACAACTTGAGTTGGATTTAAGCACAGGATTTATGTAAACATAAACTTGACAGCATCAAGTTTCTTTTAATAATGCTGTAATGATAATGATCTTTTCTTCTGTTTTGTGTTTTTGAGTCCCCTATCGTTCATTTCTTGCTTCAATCTGTCTATTCACAGTCCAGGGCCTCTCTCTGATATTTATATATTTTGAGAATAGTATGGATATGTAAAGCCCCATAAAAAAGGCATTTTTTTAGTCATCATCAAGTATGCTGTACAAGTTTGGAAATATCATCTGATGTAGATCATAGACTCATAGGCAGTCTCTTGACTCCTTATTAGCATTTTTAAAATGGCCAGTTGCATGATCTTTTGTTTAAATATTTAATATTAAACTAAGTCGTGTTTACTGGAGATTGTGCTGGTAATGTTTATAACTTGTTGAGATTTGAACATTTGTAAATCACAGCTATATCCTGAAGTTGTACATTGAACACTATCATTTGTGAGTTATCAATTCACCAGAGATTCCTGCAGTTACTGACATCTTATCTTCCAGAAGATTGCCAAATATTTGCTCAGCAAGGAATGCAAATGTTTTTAAAAGCAATGTCTATTAATAAGTATGACACAACATACATGAATTCATTTTACATTAATAAATGCAGAGTAAGATAATGAACGAGTGATATTTGGTCACGTAGATCTTAATGTTTAACCTATCAGGCTTTAATTTAAGACCATTTGGGTAAATAAAATCATCTAGAAATAAACTAAATCATCTAGTGTTTGGAAGAGTAAAATGCAGTACTTTTATACTACAGTCATAAAGAGCAAAAACATGAACTGTAGAAGGAATTGTGTGTACTAACATTTTATAAATTTCCAGCTAGCATTTTTGTGTTGATACTTAGAACAATATGCACTACACCAGCCCCATGAAAAAGTTAGTTTTATACATGTATCTCATGAGTTTAAATGCTTTAAATAAATCCAGCACCCTTAATATGCTTAAAATTTAGTCATTCTATCTTATCTGCCGTGCAGTTTTGATGTTTACATATTATCAATTCAACAGGCAGGCAGATGACTGTAACTACATAAAAACCTTGTATTTAATAACTTAATTTGAATACTATTAGTCAATTTCTAGTTGTTGACATGAATAACTGGCATGAATAACTGGCATGATTGATTATTTTAATTTATACCCATGTCATAACATCATTGAACAATAATTATGTGAATTCTTTTGCATATTTATATCATTTAAAGCATTTTGTAAATATGAGTGTAGTAATGTACAGACTGTGCCAATGGATGTTAGAAATTATATTGGGAGGCCAAGGACCTATTTACTACTTTTTTCTCTCCATCCCCTCCTCCCATAATTTATTTCCCTTTTTGGCCTCCCTCTTGCTTTTCCAAACACCCACACCCCCTCTACCCGACCCCAGCTCATCTTACCCCATTTCCCCCTTGCAACCCTTTCTTTTCTTACTCCACCTTGCTCCTTGTGTTCTTTCCCCACTTCTTGCTTCGTCCCCCCCCCCTTGTCTCTCTTTCTCCCCCACTTACCTTCTTCCCCTCAACTTGACCCCCTCCATTGCTCCTCTTCTATGCATATCTCTATGTATATCTGTATATTAAACTAAGTGTTTACTAGAC